CTCTATATATATATATATATATATATATATATATATATATATATTTGTTTTTTTTTTCTTTGAGAAAGTCCACATTGGACGAAACGCGTCAACAATAACTACAGTTTTCCCATTCTCCTTTATATATATATATATATATATATATATATATATATATATATATATATATATATAGTTTATGCAAATTTAGGTAATCCGTATGGGTAGACCTGAGGAGGATGATATACAGAGAGCTCAATGTAAAACTCAGAGCAGATATGTTTGAATAAAAGACAGACGACGTTAAGATTCCATGTAATAAGCTATTTCACCATAACCCCTTTAACAGGGTTCTGGATCATCAAACTTTACTTCCAAAAGCTGAAAATGAATATATATATATATATATATATATATATATATTGAACAATTCCGTGTTGAATGCGGAAGCAATTGTCAAGTGCTTGAGTTTAATTTTCATTTTTAAATAAATAGTTGTGCAATTAATGTAAGGTATTATGTGTATTTCTTTTATATATAGCTCTGTTATTTAACATTGAGTACTGTTTTTTTTCCCTACATTATAGACATGTATATGTATACGATCGTTCGCACGCTCGTATATATACCTATATTACCATTCGGTTATATATATAGCGAGAGGGTGTGAATATTTGTATTTGCATGCTTTCGTTTTTATCTCATTGTCTGGAATTTTGCGTGAGATATTCTTAATCTCTGTATCCGTAACATTAAAAATCCCCACTATCTGATGGTAAGATTATCTGCTTTTAAATCGAAATTACGTTCACTGTTGTCAGTTTCGTTATCGTAACTGACATCTTGTTTTAATAACATCGATCTTTTAACCGCCGTTACTATTGTCGCCATAACTATAACGTTGGTTGTAATTCCCAAGATCAATCAAACAAACGGTGCAGTCTTATTTCGATTGTCTGGAGTCTGCAGGGCATTTATAATGCTTCAGTTCTTTGCTTATATCCGAAGCCTAACGGCTTTTGTCTCGGCGCCTTGCGCAACAAATGTCTGTTACAGTTCAATATCGGTCATGAATTCTAAAATGAAATCAAATAAGGCAAACACATTAAATAAGCAATGGATACGCAAATATGGTGAAAAGAATTTGTCTGTATATTTTTAACCTGTTATTGCTATTATTTAAATTATAAAAACATGTTCTTTTCAATTGAAATGATCATGATATCAGTCAGTTATGTTCCATGTTTGATATACGTTTAGGCAATCATGTATCTTCTGATAAATAACTGACGATGCAGATTTTTCATGCAGTAGGTTGCCATTTCTGTCTGCGGTAGTCCCGTTGCCGTCCAAAGATATAGAACCCGGTCTGTCCTGCCATTTACCTATACCTGGTTGGGGTGTGGGGGGTGAATACGGGGATTCATACCTTTCCCAAGGGTATTAGCACGTAAGTGAATGTAATGGATTCGACTGGAATTCGAACTCTGCTCTCCGATTTCTCAATCCGAGACGCTAAGCATTACTTTTTTCTTTTCTTTTTTAACCTATTCACACCATGCATGGCGATAATGCCACCTAGGCGCAACGTACGACTAGGAGTGAAAGAGAATGAAAAGACTTTAGAAGGAACCCCAATTTTAAACAGGAAACAAGGCATAAAGCTCTACTGCTGTTCATAAAACCAGGGAGCGTGAACCGGATGATCGGTGTGCTTATCTATTTCTGTTGAGGGGAAAGTAAATAAATGGTAAATAAAATTAAAGCGTTTTGTCGGAGGCGTTAGAAGTACGATATTCAGTCTCTCCCCCCCCCCCCCACTGGGGCAACATGTAACACAAGGTCGGTTATTTATTGTGGGTTTTCCCGAGCCCGTGGGCTCGGCCCAAAAATATGCCCGTTTGAACACGTATAGACGGGTTCAGGGCCGGTTTTACCTCGCCGAAGGAGACTCCGCACTTCGGCGTAGCCTCCTTCGGGTTCCTCTCCGTCCGTAGACAGAGAGTTGAACCGATCAGTCGCTCAGAAAGTGAACGACTGGCGTTAGAAGTACGGAGCTGTAGTAGACTTTAGAAGAAATCGGAAACCCAATCCTAAATATGGGTTGAACTTATACTCTTAAATAAAAGACCTGGGATGGGAGTGAAATGTTAGTGTCATATTGGCTAAAGGATTCATATCCGAAAATTCAAATCGTTTTAACAAAGAAAAAATATATTCTATGATTAAAATTATATTACTCTGAAATTCATTTTAATCATAGACTTTCAGTAGCTGAACGTCAAAAATAATTTATTGGGTCAACTGTTATGTCGTTCACATTCGCATACATCCGCGGTCCTCTGTAAAATATGGTTAAGATAACCCTTTATCCACTCATCTAATTTTAATTCCTGTAATTGTTACAGAAAATGGCTAAGTGAATGCTTCGTTATGTACATAGGGAGCCATTAATCTTCTATGGTTACTTATAATATTTTGTGTGCAATATATTTCCAGTTAATTGAGCTTTTCTCTAGAAATAATCATTGCTGAAACTCTCAAACGAGAAATTGGTAGCCTTTATGACTTTACTACTAAATTGATTTCTCTATAAAATGCAGAGACAACGAATTTGTGGTCAACAAGTTCGTATTATTCAAATAGATCAGAACAAAAAAGTACATATATATTTACTTAGGGGAAACATTTCTCAAAGTCTTTATTATTGGCTATAATTCCTACCTGGCACGAACACAACTTTTTCATAAAATAAAGAAAATAAAAGTAACTTAGTAAAATTTCTGGGATGCGGAGTAATCTTCGTTTACACTATTTACAAGCAAACTTTGTTGTGTTATCACGACATATGCTAGGCTATGAGGACCCCTTTAGTGGGCCTAGCATAGAAATAAATACAATATGAGAGCCTATTATAAAGGCAAATGAACCGAATATTACTGAGATGAGGTATTGTAATTATTTACATTATTTCTATTCTTGGGATTGTTGTCCTCAACTTTATTTCCATTTTCACGACGTTTCGGCCTCGTTCAGGTGTTTGGAATTTTGTATTGAATCCTTTATTTTGTCCACCGGGGTAGACTGTTCTAGTTCCACGTGCCAGATGTCTCAGTTATCTCCCTTTAACTCTCCCGGTTTTTGTCCCTCACTGCAGTAACCAGGTACTGATCTCAACTCTTTCGGTTAAGTCACTGGATCCAACCAACACTTTTATCCACTGGGCCATGAGTATATGAATGTTTGGGACTTATAAACTTGATGACTCAGTAATCATGTTTTTTTTGTTGTTGTTTTTCCCACCGCTCATATTGCAATGTTGTTGTTTCTTTTCTCTAGCACTCCGTATTACTGGCTCCCATATTTTATTAATTTCTATATCTGACCGGGTTAAGTGATTTTTGTGGCCTGGCGTATGTGCTAATTCCTTCAGTTTTCGTATTTTCCAGTGATGTTCTTTGTCTGATTTTTGTATTTCCCCTCGGTTTACAGATTTATCAAATTCTTGCAGTCTTACCTTAAGGGATTCCTTTCGAAATTCCAATCATATGAAGAAAGGTGGAACGTACAACAGCCGAAATGTCATGAATATGGTAATATAGATTAGGACAACAGTCCGAAAAATTAAATAAATGACTTTATGTATCCAACAGCAGCAGCTATGACAAAAGTAGTTTTGGTGAGTTCCGCCAAGCATGACAAACATATCAGTTATCACCAGACAGGGTATTTTTCATGCCCCAATAGCCCCACAGAAAAATGCGATACAATAGTCTGTGCATAAAGAGTTGATTCATGAATTTGGTGACATCTCTGGGCCGTGCAGTGTGTACTTAGTTGAAACAAAGAAATCAATAACTGACCTTAGATATGGTGATTATCTAAACTTTGCATATGTGTGGAAAAAAAAAAACCGGAAGTATGGGGCACACACTGAGGATCGGATTCATTATTCAGTTGCAAATTGATCATGTAAGGCAAGCTTGCTAACCATTACACCACGTCGAAGACTCAAAGATCCTTAGATGTAGAAGAAGTCTACTCCCGTAGATTAAATAAAGTGTTCAGTTCGGTATTTTTAATTAGTGTTATCGATATTCACCTGACGAAGGCCTGGTGTCACATCGGCTGAATACTTGTGATAAAAACAAAGATGAGGACAACTGTTCGCATGTAAATAATGTACCTAAGATTATTTGACGTTTATCTGAATAATTTTCGTGACAATTTGTTGACTTTCCAATGCATCTTCGTAGGAAATAGAAAATATATTGTATATGCTGTGCCATTGGAATTATTTAGCTACCGTTGGCCAAATACCAACGTTAAATCGGTCCGTGGAAGCTTTGTTTGATCAAAGGTTCTAATGTTGAATGCCATTTCATCATCCATTGCCCTACGTAGAAAAAAAACCATTTCACCAGAAGAGATATTTCCGGATTGACTATTTGACAAGAACCTTTACTATAATTGGTAAAATGTCTATAAACAAACAAACAAAAAAAAATAGAAATTAATATTTTGAAGTGAACAGGATTCATAAATTAAATATCTTTAATACCATCAATCATCGGTCAAAGACTGACATACCAAATATGGTTATACTTCGTTTAAACCAATACACCCCCTGGTATTGGTTTAAACTGGCACATCTCTTTTACTACATTCATTATATATTAATAAAATAGAATTGTGTGAAGTGAAATATGCTGGAAAGGTTCTAAATTATACAAATAAAGAAAATCGTAGAAAATTGATCAAAATATATAGAATATCGATTGATTCGTTTTCGACGGATTATCAACCATTTACAGCTCTAAAACATTGTTTAGAATGTGCGATTTTTTAGACAATTTGTGATACATGTCTTACAAATTAATCCTTAGTTGATGGAAGACGATGTGGATTTACACCTCGCTCAATGGTATTTGCGCTTAAATGAATATAACGAATCCAATTGGCATTGAAACTCGACTCTCCAGTTAAAAAATCCGAGAGATTATCCGCCCACACATCCAAACTTACAGCACCTAGTATTTCCAAGCGGCCACCCATTCAAATACTGACCTAGAGCGACGTTGCTTAACTTCGGTGAACATACGGGAACCGGGTTTTCAACATGATGTGGTGGTCGTAAGTCCATATAGAAAAAAAAAGGTTTTATTTTAAACAGACACTAGTTCGGTTTAAGCAAGAGCCGATCTCGTTGGATCTTTTACTCATTTTGATACAAGCAAGGTGCTAAAGACACTAAGATACAAGCGGTTATTCAGAGTGAGAGGAAATTAAAAAAATATTGAGAAAAGTCAATATAAGAACAGGATAAAAATAAAACAGATGGCGATTGGTGCTGCATTTAAATCTTTGAAAATGATAAATTTTCAGTAGAGTAAGAAGCCGGAAGTTTTCCACAAGTGCGCGAGAAGAACCTGTTAGCATAAAACTTGCGGTTATACCTAGTAATTTCAATAGTAAAATGAAGAGAACTACATAGCAGTTTACTACGGCGCTTGGATTCGTGAACTTGAGGTATCAAAAGTAATCAGACAAATTACCATGAACATATGTAACGGCGGTGAAATGCTGACTAACGACGAGATGCCAGCTATGGACCGATAATACTGTAGATTCTTTGGATTTTATCCAGAACTTTTAGAGACATGGCAGAAACATTTGACCAGATTCAACAATACTCAATGCACGGATGAATGATATATTCAAAATGTATGATAGATTCTGTCGAGAAAAAAAAATGTCTAAAAACGACACACTGAACTAACTTTTCTAGTCGCAAACCTAGAAATTGATTCATTACAATCGTTCCACTTCATGTCAGTTATTTTAGACAACTTTAGGAAGCGTAATAAGTTATTTTGCTGGAGGTTAGCATAAGCCAAAAAGTTTTTTAAGACGATTTGTAGAATGTTGATTCGTTTTGTAGGCGTTTGAATTAATAAGATATTTCTGGCTCCAGTTAACAAATGGATGTCATTTTTAAGATCAGCTGCCAGTTCAACATTATCGAACTTACCAATCCTACCAGTGAGACAGAAGAAATAATTGTTATCAGCATAGTTACTGGATCGAGAACTGTGAAGGCCGTTGATTAAATTTATAAACGGATTGAGTCTAGAAGGGCACCGACATTAATGTTAAAAAGACTTAGAAGTGTGTTCAGTCAAGATAATGTTACTTTCTAGATTTTATTAGAAAAAATGAGCTGGCTATAACAAACTACATTCGGCAGCATTGGGAAGTTTATTTGTGCGTGGAACCACCTCTTAATTGATTGTTCCCAGGTCAACCATAAACCGGGGTGGTAGCAACCTCTAGCTATGGACAAATAGTATTACCCAGTCTGGTGTCAAAACACTATGAAAGTGTAGAAATACAGTTCTGCAGAGAAGGTGTCAGAAATACATTTTCTAAAGTAAAAAATGACCACCAATGCATTAAAAGAAATTAGAATAAGCAACAATACATTTCCGTAAAAGAAATTACTAATACTCCCCAAGAAATTAGCTAAATTGAAATATGTGTTTTTCACAAAGCAAATTCACTTGCATCTAATGTGGGATATGAAAATACTACCAGACTTGGTATAGTAAACAAGATGGATTAAAATCTAATTGGTCGTATGAGGAAAACTTCGCTTACATACTGTCAGGTTATAGGTTTGTCATATAAACTATCTGTTTACAGCTAGGATTGTGCCTTTAAGAAAATAATACAGTTTCTCCATACAATCTATCGAAATCAAAGATATACGTTTAAACAACTAATACAAATATATAATCCAAAAACCATCTCTTTACACAGAGCACTATGCTTAAACTACCTGTCCATACAAAATACCTTGTAATATATAAAATGCACATTCACGAAAACAGATTCCTAAAAGTTAAAATTTTCCCTCAATGGGGCCATCTGTTGCCGTGGGTAGCGATCCGTGATGCCCGAGGACGGAGTCCTGGTGATTGATTCCCGATCCGCTATAAAATGATAAGGAGTTTCCACGTCAATTGGTCACTACCTGGGATAGATGAGTGGCTGGAATAATCCACTCGAATCGGTTAGTTACATAGTGGCAAGGGCTAGTTGGGATGAAAGATAATGGCTGTGACACGCCTGTGAATGCTTACATCATACTATACTTGGGTAGCTATGGTGGACGATTGCGTGTGCTTGTATCAACTTTCAGCACGACTATAGCATCTGTGCATCTTTGGCGGATCAGGGTAAATGGGATTAATCCGCAATGATAGCGTCATTTAACAAGGACATCCGAGAGGGGCGGTGAGCACAGACGGCGAATATAAAAACAAAATTATAGGGCTAACACTTATAAACGAACCAATATGGAAATAATATGAAATACGAGGCAATATGAAAACTTCGAAACAGAAAGTGACAATCAAATAACAGGAATAAAAAAATTTCCAAATTTTATAGTCATAGAATCATTAGATAGTGAAATAATAAGTGCCATCTTTTGTCTTGCAAAAGGTTATATCAGCCATGACAGAACCAAAATCAGTAAAAAAAAAACAAAAAAAAAACAACATTTCTAATTTAAGTAAAAACCAAAAACGGACGTAGAAAATATACTAAAAATCAGTAAATAAACGACATAAAAATAAAAGCTTACTTCCACCAATTTCTTAATTCATCTGAAGGAGTAATAAAATCCTGAGAACTGTGAATCTGCTCACCGGAAGTAGTTAAAAAGATGACACGCTAAAAAAGAAAGGCGTAGCAGACGTCAAAAGAATACAAATATAAAGAAATGGTACATCAATAAACATAAACATTTTGCCATTCAAAGAACCTACTGTACCAAATGAAATAAAGACAGCATAAGCAATAGCCAAGGTAGACACATAAATTTCTAATCCCCATAGATCACAAATGTCAGAAATTTGGTCATCCACGAAATTAGTGTAGGAGAGAATCAGTGTTTTTGTATTTGTGGCGAATTTGAATCTGATCATGAATGGTCACCCTGTGAAAGGCCCTCTTTTATGCCCAAACTGAAAACATACACTCAGCAGATTCTAAGGGTGTAAGATATAGAAAAAAGAAAAGGAAATAAAAAGAATAAAATACACGGAAACATATCATTTCAAGAAGCCAGAAAACATATCCCAAACTAGTTCACTTCCAAAATCATATGCAAATATTGCTAAAATATCATCACCAAAATGATATCCAAGCTAATAATGCAATAAGAAACCGAAACCTTAGAACTCTAATAAATAATTTAAGAACTACTACTAAAATTTAGTATATCACACATAAATAGCATTCGCATCGACAAAACAAATCTTATTCCGTCAACCTCAAACAAAAAAGAATCTATATGTACAAAGCAACTCCGAAAATCACAATCTAAATTTAAAATAAATCCGTCAAGAGATATAACCATCCAAACATTCACAAGAGAATAAAAGCTTCATAAAAGAAATAACACAACCCAGTACATCATTGAAAAACCAAGAGAAATGGGCATAAATGAAGAATACTCTATCCCATCTCAAAGGTCATCATCCAGATAAAGAACGTCAAAAAAAAAAAAAAAAAAAAAAAAAAACAAGATCAAACAAACAAAAGACTTTCAAAGAACAAAACATGACAAGAGACAAAACGCGCTGACAGACCTGAGAGCATAGAGATTATGGACACTTCACCCACTAAACATAAACCGGACAAAAACTAAAAATTAACACCCTAATAGATAAACATGCACAAAAATTATACACTGAAAATCTGGAGGCCTAAATGCAAAGTTAAATAAACTACTCCTACACACACCAAATCAATTTCCCGCCGTCATTTGCCTTCAAGGAACTTTCCTAAAACCTAGTGATAAAATAAAAATGAAAAAGTATACTCAATATAACTACATGCATGACTCAGCAGACGGAATTTGAGGGTGCATCGATACTAATCAGAAATGACACCCTCCAAAGTAAAATACTTTTAAAAATCAACAATCCCATCCAAAAAACACCTGATCTAAATAAACTAATAAAATAAATACCGAAACTATTCATAGTATTAGCTGAGTCTAACAGTCATAAGTTAGGGGGGGACTAAGTACTCAGACAAGAAAGGGAAAAGCCTAGAAAATTTAATTAACAGCGAATTATGTTTACTAAATGAGAGGTCTAATAGATATCTACAATCTACATCAGGTATATACTCAGCTATTGACATGTCACTGTGTGAGTCCTCTATATCTATGAAGTACAATTGACAAGTTCCCGACATTTCATGCGACAGTGTTGACTACACAATTACATTGAAGGGTTCAGAACCAATTGAAAACCATTTCCCTCGATGGAACTTAAACAAAGCGGATTGGAGGGAATATAAAAACCGATGACCCATGAGAAGAATTATAAACTTTGTCATAGATATCTTAATTTATCCGAGGCTTTCCTATTTTTGTCTAAAAATTGACGAACTCTCAACACTAATTGTTAACATATCGCTAAATGATCGAGGCAAGCGAAAACCATATTGCTTATCTGAATAATCATATGAAGTGGGGTGCTTAACAAACTCTGAGTTTTAACAAGTTTCGAATAGTTTGCCACAAAGAGATAGAAATGGAGTCGGTCGATAGTTCGAAGGATCAACCGATTTGCCCGGGTTCTTTAAAAACAGGAACTAAACGCTGAAAAGGAAGAAGCAGCAATGCATTTATTGCAGAAGTTAGAACCGGAGCCAATTCAGAAGCACGATTCTTTAAAACTGTTTGTAGGAATACCATCGATTCGATATGTTTGGGGGAAATCAAGTTTAGAGATACTAGCAGAAACGACGGACGGAGTTATATGCTTATCAAACTTTAGAGACTCAGTTTTAAGAGAAAAGTCATACAAATATACTCTTCCAATGCGTCGAGAATAGAATTAGAAGATAATTTAGAAGAAACGCATTCTCCTTTATCATGAGAAGAAACACTGCAAATAGAAACATTAACGACTTTGCGATTAATATGAAAATGGTAGATATTTTTAGGGAAATGACGCGGTAAAAATCTAAACGAAGCCTATGAACTAGGCATTGCAAATCAATATATTATTAAAATGATTTCTTTTAATCTTTGCCAGTTTCACCTTTA